GGTGAGTATTTGTGAATCTATTCTGATTGAGTGTTAACAGCCGAAACACTTCAATGGAAATTTCAGCTAAAACTTTCGGATTTCGGTCACAATAGCTGCCGATTGATATGATATGTACCTAACTGCAAGTGTCAGCTACAAATTCATTAGTATTTCGATTAATTGATAAATGAATATAGTTTATAGATTAAGGTGGAATAAAAATCCAGCATAGACGAATTTTATTTGATAAAATATTAACACTTTCGCCTGAAATATTCTTCTATCAAATCGAAATTGAGTCATACACCAGATTCTTCAGAAACTTCATGCATTTTGCTGTGGTCCAATCCTTGTGCGGGTGAACATAGATAAAACAGAGGTGATGAAAATTCCGGGGCAACACCACCAACAGCAACAACAACAACAACAGAAAACAATCAGCATAAATGGGAGGAACCTGAAAGAAACAACCTCCTTTGCTTACCTCGGAAGCATCGTTTCAACTACAGGCGGAACTGACGAGGATATCAAAGCAAGAATCAGAAAAGCAAGACAAGCTTTCACTACTCTCAAGTCTGTGTGGAGGTCAACAGCACTCAGCATCAAAAATAACATCCGGATTTTCAACTCCAATGTGAAGTCAGTGCTACTATACGGATCAGAGACTTGGCCAGCGCGTCATAAAGACCATCTCAAACAAACTACAGACCTTCATTAACAGTTGTCTTCGCTCAATACTCAAGATCAGATGGCCGGCCAGAAAAGATCAGCAACAGAGATCTCTAGCAATGAGCGAACCAACCCAGCAGGAACCAATTGTGAAACAAATAGGCAGGAAGAAATGGAGATGGATTGGCTGGCCATACTCTGAGGAAACAAACCATCAAGTGACATCACTAGACAAGCCGTTGCTCGAGTGGAACCCGAAAGGGAAGTGGCGAGTTGATCGTCAGTGCAAGAGTGAGTGACTTGGATGAGGTTATGTGAAGAGGAGATGAAAACGTGTGGGCAGACATGGAGCCATGTGAAGACTCTAGCAGAGAACAGAACGCAATGGAGACGCACGGCTGAAGCCCTATTTTGCTCTAGGAATTAAAGGATACAAAATAGTAATAATAATAATATTCCTTGTGCGATCCTACATTGAACTACGCTGTTCCTTTCTTCTGAATTAGATGCGTTATTCCGCTATTTTAAACCCTTGAGATCGTTTTGGCTGTGTTATTGTTATCATAATAATGAAACAGGTGTGGTCACTCACATCTGCCTATACATATTACAATTCCAAACTAAGAGAATGATAATTCTGTAGCCAAAGAGTCAAACGCAGCTCTTCTCTCACCAACTGGATGTTGGCTTCACAGTAACTTCCCTGAACACTTTAGTGCGTCTTAAATATTTCTCCTGAACAACAAGTTCAAGCAAAACCGATATGTGGCCAGTTCTGCTTTCCATTCATTTTAATATTACATAATGTCAAGGAAGATAGTTTCTCATGAAACGGTAACCTGTTCAGGCTTCAAGCGTGTGTCGTTCTTGATTATTTCACAAAGTCTAGCCATCATATTGGCGATCTCTTCTGCAAGCATGATTCTCACTGATGCCTAATGAATTTTTATTGAAGTCAATAAGGATTATTTCCCAGTCATATCTCATGTTACAGACCATCAGGACTGTATCCATCATTTGGTGTTTATGTTCCACCTGGAATACTGTGTACCGGTAAACACCTCAAGAGTTCGTCTGTGTTTGCAATCAAACAATACAAGACTTATTTTGAAAGTTCGATCAGTTTTTGAGTTATTGGCAAATCATCTATTCAGAATCGCTTCATAGGGGCTTCAGGTTATTTAGACGTAAATCGTCACCATCCATTCACATTCACACAGCATAATCATACCTTCTGTAGTTTGAAATGAATATTTGACTGTCATTTTTTCTGTCTCGAATATGCAACAGATTCAAACTCGGTGCTAATTTACTGATTATGCAGTTGTGACAACTGAGCAACCGTTACGACTGCCAACATATTTCTTTAAACATCCGTCTGTTTGCGTAAACTGTTTTGTTAGAATATTTATGCAAATAGTGAACCTTTAAGTGTTTTGAAGTCAATGTTGAAATAACTTCTTTCGAGTAAAGTGCACTCTGGTTTACTAGTCACCAGCTTATTAGCAATACTATGGGTTACCCTAGAAACAACCGCATGTATATCTTACAAATAGTGGTTGAAAAAGTGTGAAACATTGTGATACTTACATTCGAAGGGGATTAAAGCAAAATGCTTCAATGGATGATAATGTTAGAATAAGGTTTAGAAAATAATACTTCAACTGTTTATAGAATGTTTCATAACATACTTATTGTCTGGTATTTATAATGAGTTGAAACCCACAAAAATTAGCACTATATCCACTATGTCTAATTACTTTTTCTCTCGGAATACTGAAGTCGCTTCACGCTTCATGCGTGATGATCGTGGATTATGATCGACTATAGTTTATGGAAGGTCAGTTTAAGTCATTTGAGTCTTTCTTATCTTCTGTGTTGACTTTCATATGCCAGACATACACTTCCAGCTGGATGAGTTCACATTTTTGAAAAAGTCATTAAAATGTCAGTTTGTTGAAATTAGTTCTTCAGATGAAAAATCACTATGTGTGTGAGCTGCAGCATACTAATTACTTGAACCCGGATATCAAAAGCACTCAAATAGGTGTCTAACGCATTGTCAATTCCAGATTTTGCTGTAGTATTTTACTGCCTATAAGTTTGTTGACTTCAGTAAATAGTTAGGTTTGTGCATTCACAACCTTCTTCGAGGTGTTCAGTCACTGGTTTCTTATAAATACGTCCGACGTAAAGTCCATTAGGACGTTTCTAGTAAATTGAGCGAACATTTATACAAATATATATATATATATATACGTATTTTCATGTTTGTACACAAAACTGATCTTCTAATTAACATACATAACGAAACTAATTTCACCATATCTATATACTTGCCATCATAAGCTTGAAACTATTCACGATATTCACATAATAATATCGAGATAGTGAGATTTTGCGTAACTCTTCACACTAGAAATGCTTATGAAGGATATGAACTTGAAAGAATACTCATGGATGAGTATGTAACTATATTGCAAGCAAATATTAGAAGTTGGGCTGTAAAGAAGACAAGACTGAGGAGGCTGAAAGGAATGTATATTTGGTGAAACGTATGGTACATAGCTAAATTTGGTATACCATATTCTAAACCGGCCATTTGGACATCATTTACCATATCCTTGACGAATTGGTCGAATATCGTCTCATTTGATAGCTTCTTGGATTCTGCATCATATGGCAACATTCTTCTCATGATTCTCTTCTTTGATTGCTCTTTCCAGTGTGCCAAACATATTGTTACTTCGTTTCTGATATACTACTTATATCGGATTATAAGTAGCACTCACCACAGGGCAACCTACCTATGAATGAAACATTGTGTTACACGATTCACATGCTAACACTTACTCATGCTCGAATATACATTCTTTATATTCTTCAAAACCATGATCGAAATGTTTACTCATAAATGTTTGAGTAAAAAAATTGTTTTTAAACAAATCCTTTGATACTGACTGAGTACTGCAACATTGTGCAACATCATGAAAGTAAGAAATATAAAAAGAACTAAAATTTAGTGATCTCAGATAAGTTCATCTTTATTCTTATGTTTGTATATATTTCATTGGATGTTCACCGGATCACTACTAACAGTCCTTAATAGGTTAACTTAAGCTGGTTTTAATTCCAATCAGAAAGCCTATCGACGTTTTCAGATAAAGATTTTAATATTCCTAAAGCTCCTCTGCATTGAGCGAACAGCAAATTATGAAATGTTTTTTTAACTACTAGCTGTAATTTAGGTTGATTGAAGTGTGGAATAACATTCTACTGTCAACATCAACTTCATAGACTTTAAAGGAGTAATTGAGAAAAAGCTTCAGCAATATACAGTACAGTATATGCAGAAGTTTATTATTCAGATACCATATGATGATGCAATATGCAAAGGGATTCACAGATGTGAATAACCCATGGTTGACTACTACAACTGATATCATTCCTCTTTGTTGTAGAGTAGAACGATATCTGTATACTTTGTTTATCATGCTGATAAATTATTGATATATAAACAGGTGACTCACCAATATTGATTGCGCCTGCATGATTATTTATTTCCCACACGTGCATGATTATTGATTTTCCGCACCTGCACGATTATTGATTTTTTGCACTTGCATTTAATTACTGAATTCCTATCGTTTGTTAATATTTTTAAAATGTGACAGTGATTTTCCTAACTGTATAAATACGGAGTTTTTGTTTAATATTTCGACTGTTGTAACGACAGTAAAAGCTCTCGTATCAACGTCCAGTCTTCTTTCTTTGTCTTGTGTGCCCGGCGGTATTGTTGTTGTTGTTGACGTGCGATTAGGACAGATTAGCCAGCGCATTAAGTTAGATTCGCTCGTAGTCTACAAGGTCATAATATTCATACATAACAATTATATTTTATACAAAGTGATAAGTGCCAATAATTTCATTAGAAAAGCAATCTCGGAGACGGTCTGGATTTTATCTAAACCTTTCGCGATATGATCCTTTATTATCCAGAAGTTAAATTAAAAACTACACTTCATCAAATTTGACTTTCAAATTTGTAGTCGAAATTAGTGTATTCACGGGGAATGATATTCGTGGATTTAATGAACATCCACTGCAAACAAGACAGACATAAGTGACAATGTGACTTCCGTTCATTTCGTTATTGATGATTGTTGTATTTTTTTTCCAAGATTTTTGAAAAGTAGGCGGTATTTCGATCGAAGATAAACAGCTTCAGTATTATTGATAAAAGATTATACCATTTATATGCTCATGTAGAACTTCGGATCAAAGTCTAAAGAATGTGATGGATATATTTGTGAACACGTATTATTTACTCATGTTGCTCATATAACTAACTACCAGTTATCCATACCATTCCAATCACATGTAAGTAATGCTTTTCTTATGATATTTCGTTAATAGAATGTTTTGTCGTTTGCAAGAATTTGTTTATAAAGCTTCATCAGTCTGATATATCTGCATATCATGTCACGCTTCATATGCTTGAATGAAGACAAGTGGAAGCGGTCACCTTAGATTCTTTACGCTTGTTTCATTGAATATGGATATTGGCTTATGAACATTATATTTCTTCGTAATTTCACCTAAGACTGCATGAAACATTCTTAGTACTTCTGTTGTAGTTAGAGAGACAATTAATAGGAAGCTTCCCAGGGATGAACATAGTGAATCCCTACGGCTCATACAAAAATCATGTTTATGTTTTACATTTTCGAATGACAGCATCACTTATGACCCAATATCCAGTTTACTTAATAAAATTTCAAAGATTTCCATCACAATATAATATTACTAGTTCAATCATTATATATTGGGAAAACAGGCAACTTATCGCATTAATTCGTTTATCAGGTATCTCACAGTGAAATCGTATAATTTAGTGACAACCTACCAGTCACTGAACTGCTCCTCCAATTTGTAACTTCCGTAGTTCGTTATCATCATGAGTAGCAGACAGTGATCTACCATTTGGAAGCTTTCTATCGATTAGGCTGCTATAAGTAAATGGATATATAATGTATATATAACTTAAGAGCGTGATGATGAAGTTATCGAAAAGAGTATTCTTTTTTCACTATCCATTCTCTTGAAAATGGATATTTCTCGTTTTAGTATCCGAAACACCAATTTGCCTAATACTAAGAATGTATGTGTTTCTGTTTAGTTCAGACAAGCATCTTCAATGGAGGCGAAGTACATTGTAGCAATAATCTGCATGTGAGTTCTACATTTTGCTATATTTAAAACAAAAAAAACAACAACAATTAATTGATGCAGCGTGGTGATTACTTTATTTATGTTACGTTGTGATTACAATTTCTTTAGTTATAATAGCCAATCATCAGGAATACGAATGACGGACTGCTCTTAGCTTTTCAAAAAGTATTCCGATTGTCGTTTTCTTCGTTTCACTCTGGGTTTCAATGAAAAAAAGCTGTATGCCACTTTGATACATTAGGGCTTTACTTGATTTTATCACATAGTTTTGCGTATAAAATATTGGCTGAAGTTGGCCTATCACTGGTAGCCAGGATGCTGACTAGTTAGAATGGTGAACTTCCGTGATTAGGAATGCCCTGAAACCTTAAAAATGTCATCTAATCACATCCATAATATATTTGTCAACGAAGTGCATTCGTAGAGTGCCAATCAAGTCTTCGTTTATGTAATACACGCATGAACTAATTCCGTTTACTTCCTTAATATTTAGAACGATCTCTTATTTGCACTAAAATAAATAATGTAAAAACTCTAGAGTATACAGTCCATTCACATGTTAAGCGAAATTGTGCGATTCCAGAAGATAAATTCCTTTCGATACTTTACTATGTGATAAACTGTGGTGTTGTGATGTACACAGTGTGTGCCAGCGGAATATGATTCTCACAAAATTCAACTTTTCACACAGTTCAGTACTGCATAATACTATGCATATTTGAACATTCTATTTCATGTCGTTTAATGTAAACCAAAATCACACGCTCAGTGACTGGTTAAGAAATACAAACTGTATAAATGAAAAATATACCTTGGCTTCCTTGTCTTGCCTTCTGTTGTTACAATACAATCAATGTGACAATAGACAACTGCATTTTTATTTACGTTCAAACACATTTTATCAAAACATTCTGTGTAATTCTTCATTTCGGTATTTCAGACTGGTTGCCGTAGCCCTTGTTTCAATACTGTTCTTCAAATTCAAGCATAAACTTCTAGTTACACGCTTGATCATTGCAATATTGGTAAGTTTACTAAAAAGGTTGAGTTGATGTTGCTCAGTCATATCATCATTATTGATTCATTGTTGTTTTACCATTCAGAAGACAATTTGTAAGTGAATTATTCATATATGAAGCTTGAAAGTGAAGTATCGTGAATTGAACTACTTCGAAAAACATTTGCTCTCAATCTTAATCCAGACGCATCCTTAATACATCTCGTTTGTCATAAGTGAGCAAGAACGTTCCCCTCATTGTGTATTCAGCTCAAATCAATGAATATAGTAGATATTATTCGGATGAGAGATATTTCATTATGAATCAAAAGTTAGTAATTTTGTTGATGTAATATACGCAGACGTATATTACAACCCGTAAAACACCAAACCATATTATCCTGTGTTTTCGCTGTTACTGTTCGGTTTAGTATTTCATTTCAGTGTTCATTGGTGAAAGATTATTGCATTCCTTGAAGAGTTCTTCTTTAGACTCTGATCACTATCAAGTTTCGAATACGCGAATTAAATTTCCACTGGACTGTGATGTTCAATGGTCACTGGTTTACACACAATGATAAGTTTTTGTTTTTGGTTATATTTCGAGCGAATCGTAAACGTATGAATTAAAAACAAAGCAGTTCCAAGAGTTGGTGTGATCTCGAGCAATGCCGTCTCTCTGTCTAAAGATCTCAATATTGAAGGTGAACTGAACATTCAACGTACATCTCAATAAAAGGTCTTTGAGGTAGAAAGTCGGCAGTCCTATTTTTAAACTATGTGTATCAATATAATCACATAAATAGCAAACAGTTTCCATGAGAGGAACATTGGTAAATAGCGACGTCACATCTAATGAGAACAAGATTTTTTCTGAGACATTGATATCTTTAATGCTATCAGTAAATTTAAACATATCATCAATGGAAAACTTAGATACTTGCGTTCTGACTGGTTCCAGTATTTCAGCTGGCCATTGAGCGATTCCGTGGTAACGAGAACCCGCTATATCGAGGATAGGACGGAAGAGTTATCTTGTCTTATGAATTTTAGGTAGTCCATACAAACGTGATATCATGGAACCTACTGGTCGGATGCGTTCATATATTTCCGACGAGATTACTGACTTATTCCTTATGTTCTTTAAGACATCAGTCATTTGATTTTCAATTAGATGTGTCTTGTTCTTTTCACCATCGGGTTTGGCGAATTTCATTTGGTCAGAAAGGATCACTGAGATTTTATCATTATAATCTTGGCGATTCATAACTAAAACACCTCCACATTTGTCTGGACGGCATATAATAATATCATCATTCTTCTCTAGTTCTTTAAGTTGATCTATATGCTCTTTAGTCAGAAGATTATTCGAGCTAGGTTTTGAACTAGTAAACTGATGACAGCAATCAAGAACTATAGATTTGAAGTGTTGGAATTCCTCAGGTGATGTGGGTGTGAGACCGTTGGTCTGATTAATAAGATTTTCAAATTGCACTTGAGTATGCAATCTGTTGACTTTAGACGAACTATTACAGAATTTGGGACCCAGTGATAGGGCTTGTAGTTGAATTTCAGAAAGAGTGACGGAAGAATAATTAAATACAAATTTATTGGGAACAGCCGGAAATTTCTTTTATGCTACTACCTGCTTGAGACTGTCAAGATGCTTGAGGTTAGCAGACTGAGACTGTTTTTCGATGACAAAAGAAACGTATTCCTCGAATTACCGGCGTTCATCAGTTGAAAGTTCAAACAGAACGTGACTTCTTAGAGATATGTTCCTGTTTAGCTCTACAACGCGAGAGCTGATTGCATCAATAAGATTAAGTTTATGGCGCTTTAATGTTTCGGAATTTGGACATATACGGTTACGCCTAAGCGCTCTCCAGAATACATTAGGATATTCATTTTTAAAGATACAGCTTTCCCGGAAAAGGAACTTTATTAATTCTCTCTGTTCTAGGATAATGAAAATTTGTAATTCTGATTCCGTTGACTCAAAACTTGTCTTCTTAAAAGCCACTCTCGCTGAAAACGGTTACCCTAAACGATTCATTGAGAGCAACATGAAAGATAAGCAGTCTAAACTGGTCACCGACACAGTTCCAAGGAAAACCTCATTCATGAACTTGGAATTCAAAGATGATCAAGCTTCAGATATGCTCAAAAATCGTCTCTCTAAATCAGTCAGTAAGACGTTCTATGCAACAAAATTACATATGACACTAGCCACAAGTTGTTCTCTACCTATGTAAAAGATAAGCTCCTCCGTCTGGCCACCTCCATGTGCATCTATCAGTTCACCTGCTCTTGTGGAGCAAGGAACATTGGCCGTAGTCAGAGGACGCTTTCCACACGGATACGAGAACATATTCCGCATGGTTTTACAAGGGAGAAAGGAAGTGTGTGCGAAGCTCTATTCTAGAACACCTGATCGACTTCTGTCACTCTGCCAACCATGACCATGATTTTAAGATCATATATAGAATCCATGCTAACTTCCCGCGTTTTCTTCGTTACAGACTTCTAAAGACAGCTGAGGCCTTGGCAATTCATGACTTTAAGCCAGACCTTTGTGTAAAAAGAAGTATGTACAATCCCTACTTCTGCCTTGGCCGTAGAGGGATAGACATTTATTTATTTTGTTTTTTAGTTATTCTATGTACTTTTCCCTTATTACTACGATTATTATTATTACTATTCTCACTCTGAATCTTTTCCACTTGACCCACTTGACATTTTAAACCCAAAATTATTAATTTTTATATTTTTATTTTTACAATATTGAATTCTATCTTATCAAATTTCACACCATGTTATGTAACATTTTATATTCGTCTACTGATCTTATAATTATGTACCCCTTTCCAAAATTCTATACACCTTATGTATTATTCTATATACGACATTAATTATTGTGCCACTTGACATTAAACTATGATTATAATCACAAATATTTTAATTGCATTTCATACTATTATTATTATTATTTCATGTATTCAAAACTTTGATCTGATTCCTTCACCGGATATAATTTTTTATAAAAAAACCACATATATATACGATTGTACAGCTTGATAATTAATTCGTTGTTGAAGCGAGTCTCTTCGCTGAATATTGTAAACTATGTGAAGCATGAATTTTTTCTTAATTCATTCAATCTAATAAATCGTCTTCAATTTATTGTACCGACAGCTTTCACTGTGTTCTGCATGCATCTGTTTGGCAGTTTGTGGAAAAAGTGAATTAACCGATGAAATATGGTGTCCTCTTTTAATTAGTTTCACAATTTTGGAAGATATAGTAACAATTATTTTTATATTCTTGACAAGGAGATTGAAAATGAAGGTGGAAATTGCACTGTGGACTTTGTCATTGGTCAGTGTGGTTATCGCAATCGTTTTGACTGTTGTCGGTTGTGATAAGGTAAGTTAGTTCAAATATCAAATTAATTGTCGCACAACATCAGTTGTTCCTGTAATCATCTGAATTGCTTTATACTTGACATTAACATTCAGACATTCAACAATATATGTTTATTGAAGTAACTTGAGAAGAGGAATTAACGTCACACAGTAAATAAAACCGTTTCACAGTAAGATATATATATTCAATAAACACATTAATATGGTAGTAATTATCACCAGAGGGCTCACGTTTAATAGATGCATTATTTCCTCTTTTGTTCAATAGATACACTCAGAAGACTCCCTGAGACTGAAGAAATACTTTTAAATCGTCAGCATGTATTTATTCGATTTCTAGGAAAAGAAAGAGCTGATGAACGAAGAGAATTTAAGCTGCTGCTGCATCATATGTACTGTGTTGAAATAAATCAAATTAGTATTATTATCTTGTGTGAGTCAAATGGTTTGTCCATGCCTGGTGTCAGATCGCTTCTTTAGTATCCCTACTATACTGTCGAGAACTGACTGTAAAGATGCAAATACTATCAATAAGCATACTGACGCCCACTAATACATTCCACTTCCGGAGAATCATACTGAAATTCTGATTTATGTTGAAAGAGTCTTTCACAAAGTCTGAAAATGCAATTATCCTGGTTATTATTTTCTTGGAAGTAGTGAATTTTAACATTCAATAGTAGTTTCGTAAACACAGTAATTCATAGAATTCCGCTGTCTACGAGTGTCTTTTATTCTTTTGAGTCATTTAAAGTATTTAACTTTATTTTGCAGAACATCTGCGCAGTAATAGCAGGTGGCTTCTTCAACACTACTCTGTCTTTGGTAAGTGCATACTCTTTCTGATTTGCTGGGAGGAATATCAAGTTGAAAACACTCATTCTGTTTTTCAGAACATATTTTTTGTGTTTAACAAATCGTTTTTTTTACTGATACAAGTATGTAATGACATGTTAACAAGACAAAAAGTTAAAAAAAATGATGTGAAAGTACTTCAATTTCTGAATTTTCATGCATTTTCATGTTGCTCTTCTGTTTTCAGATCACAATAATTTTTGCGGACATGTTCAAATGAGTTTCGTATCAGATATCTGTGTGACAGTGTCTTACCATACAGTGAGCCGAATTTGTAATTTCGGATGGAGCATTCACCATAAACAGTTGAATGTAAATTAATAATTCACGTTTGAAAATTTTAATAAAATTTCCACAAAAAGATAAATGTTTTTTTTATGCATTCACATTAATATGATTACAGCTGTCTTATGGATCTTTACGTTTCAGAAAAGTCAACTCACACACACTCTTATATCGGTGAACTGAAATCAACACTTTATGTTCCCTTTGGGTTGCAATAGTTGTCAGTGAACACTCAGCCTATGATCACACTCATCTTCGAGAATACTATCTGAATCATTTGAAAATTTTACTGCCATTTGACTCTGTTTTTTAATTTTGACATACAGAAGATGATTAATTAACAAAATAAATATTCCTGGCAGAATGGATATATGCATTCCGCTGTCTAGTAGATTTACCTTCGGGATTCATTGTCCCAATAGCATGCTGTGTCACATCTGTGCGCTAGTTAACAGATACATGAAGGCGTAAATGATGAGATTTCAAGACTAACGTTTGATTCGCTGGTTACGCTGATGGATGTAGGCACATACTTGAACTCAAGATGCGTACGTGCATTTTTATGAGCAATTATGATCTAGCCAAAACAACAAATAGGTATTCAGAAGATGTTTGTTTCCAGTAACAACGTAGTGTTGTGTGGCTGCTAGTGAAAAAATAGATAGAATATGAAAATAGGATATTTATGCAGACGCACTACTTACAGTTTTGTATTCAATTAACAGACCATAATCTTCTGCGTAATTTGTGCAAACACTAAGGATGGTAATCTGAAAGAATCAGCTGTTTAGTGCAAATAATATCCTCTTCATGACAAGCATCATCAGGAGTACGAGAATCATTGATAGTAATACGCGTTATTACATCATGCACATTATGCACTCAGTTAATAATACTGCTTAACGAATTTGCAACCAATAGACTACCGTAATTCACAGTACCAAACATTTTCGTAGTGCTATAAGTATAAATCGGTTTCTTATAGTTCTGTCAATCTCACTTTTATTGTTCACCTTCAATCAAGAGACAAATATAACCACTGTGTCGGTTGTTACATCCCACTGTAAAAGCTATTATCACGAATACGAAAACTAAATTGATTCCCGCTCAAATCACTATTTCATTCGTGGATCATACCAAAACGTTCATCTCATCAGAAGGCATTTCTACTCAAATATATTAAATCGGTTGATTTCGTTTGTGATGATTTGACAGGCTTGACTTCATACTCAACTTAGACTTATGTGAATAGGTGACACTAATCACCTGTGCATACCATGTGCTAAAAGTTTCTCTCACTGTTTAAATAACGTAAAAATTTATTTCGTTGGTTGCACGACTAAGCTATGAGGGGGGGGTGAAGCAACACATCTGGATTCGCGAATACCAACAAGTTTTCAAAGTTTTCTCATATCATTCCTATATATCTCTCGGACACATTTCTTCCAGATTTCGCTCGATAATGTTATAATTTTACTGAACTCATAACGACTGACAACACTATGCAAAGTAACCTGAATTAGAGATTATGCTAGGATGAAAATAATGGCACGTAACACATTTGTGAGGAAATACAGGTTAATCACAAAATCTTTTTCTGTTTAGTGTATCTATCCAAGGCAATCGAAACGGTGCAATGCTTTGACCTCACATGTCTTAAACTGCCGTAAAAATTAGCGGGATGAGTTACCTCTTCAAATTTACATCCCAGAATCTGCATATATCAAGTAGTACAATCTCCTATTTATTACAGTTTGTGTGCGTGCACTTGGTATCAATTAGGTCTCCCATTACTCTTTGTAACTGTCTAAATCCAGAAAAACGTATTTCCGGAGATTAATGTTGAAACCTAATATTTAGATTCAGAAGAAATTTCCCCTTTTGTTCCATGACTAATCTTCCACTGTGATTAGAGAGCGAATGTGTTTATCTTCCATTATATAGACAGCAAGAAGGCTGGCGCGCGATGTCACCCGAAGGTCTCCTCAGAGTGTGGTCAATCAACTTGCATCTTCTTCCAACTACTAGTTAGGCTGTGTTGAGAGCGGGCTGTATGCCAAAAGTTGTAGACAACAATTTACGACAACGTTCACGTCGCGTTTTTGATGAAAGGAAAATGATTGTTTCATCTTAAATATCACGTAAATAGTTTACGTAAACCGTTTTTAGGATTATTCATGAAGTAGTTACAGATGGAGAAGCACTGAGAGCCAGTGTGTACCGGCCAGTCGGTTATTTGTTGTCTAGGGCATTTCAAAAGTACCTACTTATGAACCTAAACCCGAAGATATAGCCCACAGCTATCATGTAACAAGACATCATAAACCGTACAGACACAGGTATTGAATACAACAGCTTATTACTTTCATACATTTATTCCCCTTAATGAATTTAAATAAAGCAAGAACAGCAGTTTTTGCAGAATAAAATTGTACCATCAACTGCTAACAGGCCAAAATCATTATAGAATATATCTACAGGAACAATTCTAACGTATTTGCACAGAGTTAATTTTCAAACAAAAATCAATACAGTAATAATATATGTATATATATTATATTCAACACTATTCTGGACAATAATGATCATACACAATGGAAACTTTCGGCATTACGATATCATGCGTGACTACTCATCAATATCTTCGGCTTGCATTTAACTTAAAATTACGATTTCCATCTCTGTGAAATAATTGTTTAACTGTTATTCACCAACAAACGTCAAAATAAGCGGTACATTTTGGTGCTTATAAATACCGGCATCAATGATATACAGTCATTCTTTAATGTTTTGTTCAAAAGATTAACAGATGGGGATAAAACAGCATGTTCCCATGGAAAATGATATTGGTTCATCTTTTCAGACAAGCTAATTACTGCCAGGCGTTAATGACTTCACCATGTTTTCAAGGTGATGAAGACGTTAGAATACAGTCTGTTAATCTATTTCTCCTCTTTTCTTTTTCGGTGATTCCGTGAATGAACAACTTTTCGCGTAGTCAAGATTCAGAAATTCCATTGACAAATACAGCATCCATTGTGATATCAGCAGGTGGTTGGGTCAAACGTTTTCCACGGTGATAAAGTGGATCGAACTGGAATGTTTCACCTTTAAATGATACTTCTTCGACCCTTGTTACTCTGAACTTGCTGATTATTTTTCATAGTTTGGTATTAACAATAATAATACAAGTAATTGTAATACTTCTCATGAATGAGGTGATACGCGTTTTGAATGCACTTCAGTTACCGAATCTTCGCGTTCGCCACTAAATGAATTATGGGAGTTCCTGACTGCATCGTCTCTCGAAAACACCTTATAATCAACGATTCAGACAGATCCAGATAACACAAGATTGTTTTCAGGATTTTCATCATGAGCTGACATTAGTTAGAGAACCATCGGAAAACCTGAGAGTACTGGACAGCTATTTCGTCCTAGTTTGGGACTCTTCAGCAGTACGCCTATGAGCAATACATTGATCTCGAAACGTCATCAGTAAATATTACTGTATAACACTGTGAGACTCTATCAAAATAAAATTTACCCATAATGGAATTACACTCTACCACAGTGCCCAAGTTTTATTCTTATATCACGCACTTAAGGTATCATAATCCATAGCTTTACAACGATTACACGATCAGGCCTATCATAAATATGGAACAGGCCATTGTGAATGTAACACAATGCAATATACGCGTATACGTGGATAAATATATAAATTACTGAGTGTTTGTTATCTAACCACCTCAGTCACCTTAAGAAACATAACATGTCCCTGTTTGAGAAAATGTCCGTAGCTAATTCAACCAGCTAAGTGGATAAATTAAGCACTGGAAACAAATAAGAGAACGTACCGTTATTTCATTAAAGTTAATAGAAATAGTAAAAACAAAACAATAGTGGTATTGATGGCGCGTAGTGGTTTCAAGTAACAGTGTTTCAGAAGTCAATTATTCCGAAAACTAAATCGAAAATTACTCCTGTATATATATATATATATCAGCTAGGCTAGTATTTGGCATTCTAATATATGTGACGATGTTGTATACCATTGAACAATTTGAGTGAAATTTACTTATTCTCAGCAAATGGCTGATACACACAAGTTTGTCGATATAAAACTTCACATGATTTCATATTGATAAACTGATATCAACGGTTTAGAATCTTCTATTGATTTGTCTCAGTGATACTACAGTTTTCAGTGGACTTTAGTTGATTTTTTCACATATTGATCGTCTTCAATACTGTCTACGCTTATGTGATTGTTGGATTATTACTATTTAAAAAAGACACAAGTCGAAAATCAAAGAACACAAAAGATTGAGCGAAGAAATATTTACTTTTCAATTAGATATTCTTCTATGGCTCTACTCTAATATATATAGCATTTTTACAATACACAACAATTTACCAAACAAGTGGTGATATGTTTGTTAACAATATTTAAACAGTGTCAAAATGTCAATGGGTTGATGATTAACGCAGAAAATCAATACACACAATTAAAAGGTAGAAATGGATAGAATAAATTAATTTTACAAGAATAACACGTAATTGAAGATGAAGTGGTCAAAATAAAAATAAAATAATTTGGACAATTATAATTTAATAGGGGGAGGGGGGCGACGTAGTCCTGTCTTGTAACGATGGCCACGGTAAGAAAGGTGGCTGTACAAATTTCTTCTGTACACATAGGCTTGGCTTCTTCTGGTGGATTCCGATTGCTTCAGCTGTCTGTAGAAGACGAACTCGTAGAGCAAAGTTGAGATTAGTCGGAATGCGATAAATAATTGTGAATGCAGTATTCACATCAACTTTGTGCTCAGTATCAACAAGGTGTGCTAAAATAGAACTCCGAATAGATTTTGTTTGTCCCTTGCTTAACCACGCTGGACGATGTTCAGAAAGACGACGATGAAACTGCCTAATTGTACGCCCAATGTAGCTGGCTCCGCAGCTGCAGTCAAACTGGTAGACACACATAGAAGAGGC